GTCAGTGGGTTAGCAGTCTTACACTGGAGGCCTGGGAGAGCTCCCCTCTGATGTTAATCAGCTGGTTCTGCTGACTTTCCTTCTTTAACTGCAGTTTGTCCAAGATTAAAGCCTGGCTCTGATAAACCTCCATTTCCTGATGAATCGCCACCAGCTCATCTTCAAGGCTGTCCTGGAAGCAATAAGGAAAAAAAAAAGGTTTTAAACATGATTTCTTGTTTTTGTCTATAACTGAAACAAGACAAAGATACAGCATTTCTAAATCATTTATTATAAAACTGAGACATGATGAAGAGCAGCTGCTGGAACTGCTAACAGAGGTTCTACACAGTACTGAACGTCAGATCATCAGATCCTTCCTCCCATCAGCTGTTAGACTCTATAACCATCCCAACAATCTTGATAAGCATCCATGTTTGTGTTTGCACATCAAACAACTCTACCTCCCAATCATTACATAACCAATAACCAGTGGCCGTTGTACATCATTTTTCCGGTACTGGATTTAATGACTGAGTTCGACTCAATTTGCACACCGCTGAATTTTGTATATTGCTGCACGGTATCTTGCTTTTCTCATTTTTATCTAATTTCATCTTGATAGTCCGGTACACTAATTATTATTCTTATTTTTTATTTTATTCTATGTTTTTTTATTGTTACTATCTTTAATTTTGTTAATATTGCCACAGCTGATAATGTCACATAGCAATTTATTGTTTCTGTGGATTGATGTATGTATCAGCTGCTGTYRCTACACCTGAATTTCCCCGTGTGGGACAATAAAGGCTGATTCTATTCTATTTCTAATTTATTCTATTCTAGATCTGAGTCTGCAGATAATGAAGGTTGTTGGAGTCAGTATGCAGGTCAAACTGCCACGGTCAGATTCTGTAAACATTCTTATCTGGTAACTTCAGAGACATTTCTGTGATAGATTCAGTCATAACTGCTGTGATTATGAAGACAATCGTTTGAACATGTCTCATATTTTCAGGTAAAAAGCACAAATGTACAGATCATTAAGGCTCAGAAGACTCATGGACACTGATGAGATTTTGTACCTTTTCCATCCTCATTCTGTGGATGACTGCCTCGTGTTCTTTGACCATCCGGCTGAGCTCACACAGCCGGCCCAAAAGTTTCTGTCACGGAAAACATGGTTAGTTTATTTTTCTTGCAACAAGGCAGAAACTAAAATTCAAGAAAAAAAGAAGCATGTGAGAACAGGTCAGAGGGACTGAGAGTTAGTCTCAATGTCTGAGGAGAACTACAGTGACCAGGGGGCCTCATGCATCAACGGTGTGTACACACAAAAACCTTGCATACGCCATTTTCCACGCAAAACTCCAGATGCATCAAAACTCAACTGAACGTGGAAATGTGCGCAGCCCCACGCCAACTCCAGGGCTGGTGTACGCACGTTTCTGTGGTTCTGGTTCCATTGGAGACACTTAGAGGTGATTCTGAGAAACTGTTCATGATGTGAAAATGATTATTGTTCACAGCAGACACACATGATTAACTATTATTACATCCACATGGACGCAGTTAGATAAAAGACGTGCAAAGTTATACCAAAAATACATTTAACAGGAACTGATTCAGCCTTACTGGAGGATATAATAAATAGTGTAACWCACAGAGCTTTTATTTATAAACACATAGAATTTTCTGATCCACGATGACGAGTGGCTCATCAGCCATTTTGAGGATTTTATTTTATTTTATTTATTCAGTTTGGTTCTGCTGCGCTCTGGAGCGCGACACAGCGAGGAGCCGTGCACCATGTGTGCACGTGCAGCAGCAGCGATCGAACTGGGGTTCCACAGGAGCTTTCCAAAGGGAGCTGGCAGACCCATCAGGACTGTGCCAGTCCAGTTCACCCAAAGTTGAATCATGACCGATGGAATCGTCTCCATCTGATTCTAACTCTCCAACATCATGTGACATCATGAAAACTCTCCACTGAGGCGCAGAGACTCGTTTCTTCATTTCAGCTTTTAAATAAACAAAGATCTAMGTTCTACCAAACATTTAAGTTCCTCTGTTCCTCTATAATTATGGTAATAAACTCCTGCATAAAGTTAATATTTCCTAAGGGTTTCTCCTCACTCACTTTATATTTAATTCATTATTTTCCTGACTCTAGAAATCATTTCTGATCACAGGGATCACTCAAACGTGTCCTTCACACATGCAGGAAGTAATTTGTATCTGTTTAACATATGTTAATGAAGGCGTGTCAGGGGAGGTGTCTCACCTGCGCTCAGTTCCACGTTAATTGTGATGTACAAAAGCAATGTGTATGGATTCAGGCGTACGCACAGTTTGATCTGGATTATTTTGTGCGTACACCATTTTCTGGATTTGACCGTACGTCACGTTTCAGTAAGAAATCCACGCAAGTCTTTGTACATGAGGCCCCTGGTGTTTTCTCTCTACACATTAAACACATCATCAGTTTCTTTATGGTCTGAACGTCGGCTGAAACATTCACACTTTTTGTTTGTTTGGTTTTACAGCAGCTGGTCTACAGAGATCCATGACTATCAGTGCTTCTTAGTAGCAAATGTGAAATCGGTATTAATCTGATGAGGAGCACAGAGTGAACTGTTCCTGTCAGCAAATAGAAAACAAGTAGTCTCTAAGAGTTCATCCCTCTGGTCTTACATGGAGTTTAATAAGTTTCAGTATAAATTCTTACAGTGGTTTCAATCTCATTGAGTTTCAGTGTGGGGTGTAACTCTCTGCTGTAGACATCGTGGAAAGGAGGAATCTGTAAAAGAAAGATCAAAAAGATCATGTGTATGACATCATGTGTGTATGAATGGGTGAATGATTGAACTGTAAAGCACCTGACAAAGAGCTATATCACTTCTAATMATTATTCCTCTAGGAATGTTTTTATTGTTTTCTACTCTCTACACACACATAATCTCAGCAGTGCAACAACATAAAGAACACATCAACGATATCACCCATTTAAAATATTTAAATATTAGTTTAAATAAAAAAGTCTCCAACAGGTTATTTTAAAGAATAAAACCTATCATTAGAAAATAAACCAGGTCAAGGTCATTCCACAGTCGAAGGGCCACTTCCTGAAAGAAACACCGTATTTTTCGGACTATAAGCCGCGACTTTTTTCCTGAACTTTGAACCGTGCGGCTTATAGTCCGGTGTGGCTTATAAGTGGATTTTTTTCTTCAGCTACCAGGGGGCTCTCATGCTGCATTTGCTTCAACCACTTGCTTCAAAAAAAGAAAAGAAAAAAAAAGAAAAAAGCGATCGCTTCCAGAGCCGACTGTTGACCAGGAAGCAGCGATTTAAAGATAGTCAGTGATAAACGTCGAGTGAAGAGCTGCTGACTTTTTTTTCGGCATTACACTCCCTGGGGAAGGAATCCCATGCAGTGACGTATGCTGGAGCGGGAGGGCTTTCCCAGCAGTTGGGCTCTGGGTTTCTCGGGGGAACTATGAAAGGTCAGTGCGAAAACGAACGCCAAACAACCACGTGACGGCGCGTCGACCGGTCAACAGCCGAGYGACCATACTGCCAGCTTAGYCAGAGGTGTAGCACCATTTTGTTTTAGCTAGTAGCAGACACGACACGACGGATCTTCGACCGACACGATATTGGACAGTATGCGGGCCCACATCACAGATTCGGTGAAAGCAGCCATCAAGAAAACAAACTCAATTCCTGCTGTTATTCCTGGAGGTAACACAAAGTTTTTGAAACCCCTGGACATCAGTGTGAATCGTGAATTTAAAGCAGCACTCAGGAGTGAATGGGAGGCTTGGATGACTGACGGGGATAAATCATTCACAAAAACTGGCCGAATGCGAAGAGCGTCATTTCCTGATGCCTGGCAGTGGATCCTAACAGCGTGGAGCAGAGTGAATGAGTCCACCATCACCAATGGGTTCTGAAAGGCTGGACTGCTACGTGAAGAGGACACCACAGCTTCAGAGCCAGCATTACCCCGGGAGGACAACAGATACCGCTGTGTGACGCAGCTTTTCTCAGCTTGTTTAACTCCGACACTGAAGAGGACTTCGATGGTTTCAGTGCACCGGAGGAAGATGAATGAGACGTTTTGTTTGACCAGAAACTGTTAAAGAAAACTACCAAAATAAGGTCAGTTAAATGAACCGTATTCCTCCAAACTTTAATTCCTAAAGGTTTGCTTTTTATGTTTTGATGTTGAATCCACTTTTTTGACGACAATTTGGGTGTACTGTTTTTTTTTATGTTGGGGGTGTGGCTTATAGTCCGGTGCGGCTTATAGTCCGAAAAATACGGTAGTCTCCTGGTTTTTAAATCAGGGGCTAGGATTAATTATTAACTGCAACTTAAAGGACCTGAGGGTCAGAGCTGAAGTCTTTACAGATACTGAGGAACTGGACCACACAGAGCCTGGAATGGTACACCCACAAGAGCCAAACCCAAAACAGCTGAGACAGCAGCAACAACAGGCTGTAAGAGCTACGAATTCACAGCTAATCTAGATAAAAAGGYCATGAAGTGTACTGAGTAGAGGTGGGCAACTATGGCAGTGGTTAGAGGGGTCTGTCTGTCTGTCGGAATTAAATTAAACTTTCTACGTTCTATTGTGAATAAAATGAGAGTTTCTGAAATTTAAAAATCATTGCATTCTGTTATACATCCCAACCTTTTTGTAATTCAGGCAGTAAAATCAACAGGAACCCAGGCTTCAGACTCCAGGCTTCTTAATTTGGAAATATTTATCAGGTGGWGGAAACCTTTTAAAACCTGATGAGTGAATGTAAAGAGTCACTGAAAGAAACTATTTAGTATGATGAATTTTATAAATGTAGTACTGTAGGACATGTGCCTAATTTTACTGCAGTACTTTATTTGAGCATTTCCAGCACTGAACTTGAAAATAAGCTAAACAAACAATTAAATGGACTATTATTTATCAGATAACTTTAGTTGTATAAAAAATATTGAAAAAAGCAACAACGCTGGGAAAAAATGTCAAAGATGTATAAAGAAAAAGAAACAATAATCTTGCCCTACCTGTTGGTCCAGGTAGTCCAGGTTACGTTGGAGTTGAAGGTCTAATATGTCATCCTGAAGCAGAAGAAAAAATAAATAAAAACAGGAAAATCACATCAATTTAAAAAGTACACACAGAAGAAAACCTTTACTTAAACTGAGTCTGTCTAATATAGTTCTAGTTTAGTCACATATTTATGTGTTGAAGCACAGAAAAAAAGAGAGAAGATGTGGGTTGTTGTGTACATCTATGGTTTTATTACACATTCTCATGAAGAGTGTGTGATAGAGTCAGCTTGTGGTGCAGAGAGGATAGAGAAGTAGTATTGATAGGCAGGATGTCCTCACTAGAATCAGCATCATTTATAAAACCTCTGCTGACACACAGCAGCTCTGTACAATCTGATTTAACACCTCTTCTTCTGTTAGAAACAACAGYAGCTAGTTTTCTAAACTAGAATTAAAGTTAATGTGACCATATTTCTGCAGGACGTTTGTCTTTAAATTAAAAAATAACTTTGACCATTGGTGTTGTATGAGTTTTAGCTGATATAAAAACATCTGAAGTGAATTTGTAGATAAAAAAAATAATAAAGAAATGAAGCCACACACACATTTTCATTTACACACACAAAGACGAGCCGAGTGGAAGAAAAACAGTTTGGAACAAACCCCTGATTTAGGAGGTTCCAACAGATTAGTAAATGTGTTAATCAGGTACACGCACACGTACGTACATACACATGCACACTTACATGTACATTGTCGTGGCAAAGTTTATCAAGAATGCAGAAACACATTGGAATAAATGCACAGTAAGTCTGCGTGTATGGTCGTCAAATGATTTAATCTTGAGCAACAAAACAAACAGAAGTCAATCAGGAAGTCTGTCGGGTTTGTGGCTGCTCCGTCAGCGGAAACAGCCAATAATATAACATCATGTTAACTCCATGTGACAGTTTACAACCAATCACAATCCGACAAATATAACTGCCTAACCAATAAACAGGGCTCTCAGCCCAAAGAGATAACTTATCAAACAAGAGAGGTCAGTCCGATGCTGGAGTCCTGACATCTGGGACAAACAGATTAAGAGCCGAAATAAATTATCATAAGATATGAGTATTGGACAACGTCAAGGTAAAACAGATATAAATAATTAGTACATGACATACATGTACACACACACACACACACACGCACCCACAATCTGGTACAGCTATCTTTATGGGGACTTGCATTGACTTCCATTATTTTCAACGGCCTATAACCCTGACCACCAACCCTAACCCTAACCTGACCCTAAAACTAACCTAAACTCAATTCACACCTTGGTCCTAAACTGAACTCCTGACCCACCTACGGCATTTCCTCTTATGGGGACTAGACTCAGGTCCCCATAAGTACCAGTCAGGTCCCCATAAGTAACATTAGGTCTCCGCAAGTAGGTGTGTATGGCAAAAAAAACTGCCCCACAATGTAGGGAATACCAGTCCACACGTACAAGCACATTTGCATGTACAAGCACACTCACATGTACAAGCACACTCACACGTACAAGCACACTCACACGTACAAGCACACTCACACGTACAAGCACACTCACGTGTACAAGCACACTCACACGTACAAGCACACTCACGCGTACAAGCACACGTACCGTGGGAATGTGCATGGAGGGGGATACAGGGTAGTTGTGCTGGTATAAGCCTTGACTTAATGACCTCCGTTCACCGGGGTAGATGTACTAAAAACAGGCAGGTTAGAGGCAGAAGTGTTAGAAAGTAAGAATGAATCCATGAAGAGTTGGTTCAAAGGACACATATTTTATAATATTGCTAATGTTTAAAACGTATTGTATGCAGAAATTAAACTGGTTCAGACGAAAGGTTTGTGTCGTTAGCTTGGTCTTACCTTTGGTGAACTGATGGACTGTCTTAGACCGTATGAATAAGGATCTGCATAGATCACGTCTTCTCTCGTCCTCCCTGGGAACTGATCCAAGTACATGGACGGAGATCGAGCAGGGGAGGTAAAACCGAGTGGGACTGGTGAGTAGGGTCCCCCCGACGACAAAGATGGTGACCTGGGTACAGATCTGGAGCGAGGCTGGATGGACAAGCGTCTCATGGATGGTTCCATTCCACTGAAATGCTGTGACCCCCATGGGTCCCTGGGCAACTGTGGTCTGTCCCTCAGAGAACGGCGCTCCAGAGTCCAGCGTCGGTCGTACCCCAGCATAGGAGAAACGGAGCTGATGCTGTCTGGTCTCATCCCTGGTGGGTACAGAGGGTACTTGTCGGCATACTGTGAGCCGAGTGAGTGTCTGTAGTTCTCAGCTGACATCCCTCTACTCACTGGGTAGTAATGAGATGGGCTGTGAGGACAGGAAGAGTCAGAGATAACACAAAGTGAGAGGTTTACCGAGAGCAACTTCACCTAACTAAGGCTGGCTTTTCCACATTGTTAGAATTTACTGTATATTTGAAGTGGCAGACATGACAAATGGTAAAAGGACTGTTTACAGCACCTTTCTATCCAATCAGAACACCTGAAGCACCTTACAACACCATCTGTGCCCTCATCCACCCATTCAGCACTCTACTGTATCTAAACCAAGCTAATCTGAATCAGCGATTCTATAGAGACAATCAGTGTTTTATCACATCCATGAGACACACATTGGTCACAATGAAGGGTTTCAGGGTCTTTCCCAGGGACACTTGGACTGAACAGCAGTGGAATGATGTTGGATGGTCATCAACAGGTCAAAGCAGTCACCGTGAGAAAGTGGAGAAGCTACATTCACGTTGCTTTCAGTGAGCTAACTTCCTTACTTTTAAAGGTTTGGGATTTTATAAACACTCTATAAAACAGCTCCTTATCCTAACTTTAAATGGTGATGTTGGATAAATTTGTTTTCATGAATTTTATATGTTTAATGTGTAGTTATGGGCTCAACTCTGCCAATCTGCTGCCTCTAGGCAGCGTCATGTACGGCAGATCCTTTGATTCGTTTCCCAGCCAAGTCATCTCAACTTTGGCACGCTTCTCCTCCTGCATATGAAATGTTAATGTTTAATAAATTATAATGGCAGTCAATGGAGCCTTGTATTGGTCCAGTACTGGCCCATGCTTTACTCAACTTGGTACTGCACCATAGTTTAATCTTTCAACTCAGTAGTTCAGTATTTACAATACTAATATGATTGTATTTTGATGTTTTACTATAATATTGTCCTAATATTGCTTTATTGTTGTAATATCTTTCAAATTGGTGACAACCATTACATTGGCAATGTGGCCACTTTCTGTACACGTACAAACCATTCCCTGGCCTCGTTCTCTTCCACAGCTCTAATGGTCTCATTGGTTAGTGCCATGGGCTTTCATGTGGGAGATCAGGGTTCGAAACCCAGATACAGCAACTTTAACAGAAAATCTCTACAAACGTCATACTGTCACACAATTACCCTTATTACAAACACCTGCTGACGTGACAGGCATAAGCTGGTATAGAAAACACATTTGAACTTGGTCACATTTCATTCTGCAAGTCCACTGCTGCAGGCAAAGCCATGCTGCAATGACATGCTACAAGGCAATGCACACTTGTTTTTACATCGTAAAAACCCATGTCTAGTTGTATATTTATTTTTAMACATCTATTTCTATTTACTATTTTAGATATCAAATATACTACTCACAACAAAATTCTCACTGTTCAGAATTTAAACCATTGGTTACAATAAGTGTACTAGTACAATTAAAATGTAAATTTTTATAACTCTAAATTCATAAAAAAGACTAAAAAGTGTAAAAACCATTTTAACATGTTTAATCCTATACAATCATAGTGACTTTAAAAAGTTTAAAAACATCTCATAGCAAAATAAATAATATCTGATTGTGTTTGAACTTTAGTTTCACGTCCAAAACCAGTTAAAATTTAGTTGTTTACTGTTCGAACTGTGGTGCCACTTTCTGCCATGAAATAATGAATAATAATCCTGAATTTGTTATAAATTAAATAAATTAAATTTGTATTTATTTTTTGTATTCCCATAAATACTAATAATTACTGTGATCAAGTCAAAATCTCCTCTGGACTACAAAAGTCCTATATTATCAGAATAATTTTGGGCTTTTTTAAGATTTTGTTTTATTTAAACCATTATTTTGTCACGGTGGAATGACTTTACAACAGACTTAGAAATCTGAAATCACTGCATCAACCACAATCCAAGCACGATGATGGTAGTATCATGTTGTGCTGGTGGAGTGTGGAGTGGAAGAGACACTGAAGGAGGAGGATTACCTTCAAATACTTCAACTTCAGCTCAAACTAAATGGTTGAAACTAAAAGACTGCGAGAACTGGGAACCTGGGTGTTCCAATGCAACAAAAATCCCTAACACACATGAGAACTAGTTTCTGACTGCACAAAGCCTCTGGAATGGTCTTTTAGAAACCCTGACATCAACTCCATTGGACATTTGTGGACTGTGATTAAAAGCTTAGGTCAAAACCAGAAAACCCACCAATTTAAAATGACAATAACCAATTCTACCAAGTAGAGTGGTCATAATATTCAAACCATACCAGAAGAATCATAACAGAAACCTGCTGACAGTTACAAAAAGCTATGTGGCCTTCAAACCGCTCGCTGTGAACAGTTGACCCTATGTGGATTATAGAAAATCCACAATAAATTCTCCTCGTCCTGTCAGTGAGGAGGTTTACCTGCTGAGGTCCTCCTGAGAGGTCATGACCCTGCGTTGGTTGACCCACTGCTGCAGCTGGGCCATGGAGCTCTTCCTCTGGGCCATCCTCTCCGGCGTTGTCCTGGGCACAAAGCCTCTCCTCAGGACCACGTTGCCCTGCTGCATCTTGGGCTGGTGTGTTGGACCTACAGCCAGGTCTGGGTGTCCCTGGTAGGCACGATGTGCACTCCTGGAGGAGACGGGTTTGTTGCTGGTGTTCTGGGTCTTACTGCTAGGATGTCTGCCGTCACCCCAGCTGTTAGAATGATGAAGACGGGCTCCTTCATCTTCACCTGCTTCTGCAGCTTCTTCTGGTCTTCGGCCGTTCATTTTCCCATTCTGGTCAGAAGCCGGGCCGTAGGCTGTTTCTGCTCGGAGGTTGTCAGACCTGTTTGAGTTCGGATGGGGGTGCAGGTCTTTGTCAGGCTCGTTGTGGGTTTGCATGAGAGAACTCTGTTGTGTTTTAGGATCAGGGGCTTTAGTCATTTGATGAGGATCCTTGAGATCATCTGTGGTTTCTGGGTTTCTGCTGTGAAACACAAGAAAAACTTCAAGTTAAAAAGGAAATTCTGCTTTTTTATACTTTAAATGGCACCATTATGGAGGCAGTGAGTGAAGTTATTCTTAAATTAAATGTTGCTTCCTAATTAATGATCACAAGTAGATTACTTCAAGTCASAGACTTGACAATTCAGCTTCTTGGGAGTGTAGGGGTCACCTCGAGTGAAGAAACAAGATTTACTGCCACGAAGCAGGCCTCGGACAGGCCTGACGAGAGGACAGGATCTCTGTCACAAACTGAACTCTATTTAGGCCATGACAGGTCATTCTAACCGTGGAAGAGAACCCCTCAGTTCTCTTAATCAGATAATGGACAGAACAATCTCTTCTGTTCGTGATTCATTTGTTGTTTAACTAAGAATGTTTATGCATTTGTTAAATCATACCATACCATACCATACCAACTTTATTTATAAAGCACTTTAAAACAACCACAGCTGATACAAAGTGCTGTACATTAAAACAACAACATAATAAAAAGTGATTAAAAACGGTTTAAAAACAAAAACATACAATTTAAAAACTAGATCCCGCTGGTGTTGAAAGCCAAGTAAAATAGATGGGTTTTCAGACGAGCTTTAAAAGTGGACAGTGAAGGGGCCTCTCTGACCTGCAAAGGCAGGTCATTCCATAATTTAGGGCCGATGACAGAGAAAGCCCTGTCCCCTCTGAGCTTCCTTTTTGTTCTCGGTACCTCCAAGAGCAGCTGATCTGCTGACCTGAGAGACCAATAAGGTACGTAGGGATGAAGAAGCTCAGAGAGGTAAGCCGGGGCAAGATTATGCAGTGATTTAAAAACAAACATAAGAATTTTAAAATGAATCCTAAAATATACAGGCAGCCAGTGAAGTGAGGCCAGGACAGGGGTCACATGTTCCCTCTTCTGAGTTCCTGTCAAAAGTCGTGCAGCAGCATTCTGAACCAGCTGCAGACATGAGAGCAGTGACTGACTGACTCCCAGGTAAAGTGAGTTACAGTAATCCAAACGAGTTGAAATAAAAGCGTGGATCACTGTTTCAAAATGCTGCCTGGAATAAAAAAGACTTCACTGACGCCAATCGTCTTAAATGATAAAAGCTGGACTTAACCACGGCTTTGATTTGGCTGTCCAATTTAAAATCACTGTCC